ACTCATAATAATATTTATAATAATAATTATTTATTATTATTATTATTATTATTATTATCATTATTATTATATTTACTGTTATCATACTTATTTATTGCAACTATACAGCTGCAATACGCGCACACGACACGTGCGCGACACGTATGCGTGCGGTACGTGGGCGGGGCTTCGTGCTAGTCAGTGATTAAATGAGCAGCGACCGAGCGATTTTTCACCCGAAACAATAGAAACAACAAGCCCCGCCCACTCACCGCCTACGCACTGTGCGCGCAAACAGCCTAATATTCATATGACCTTTATTACCGGTACCACAATAATAAATAAATATATAATAATAAATAATAATAAATAATAAATAATAATAATAACAATGAATAATAAATAACAATACTAAATAACAAACAGCCTAATATCCAAATAACCATTATCACCGGTACCACAACAATCAACAAATTCATAATAACAAATAATAATAATAAATAATAAATAACAAATAAAAATAAAAAAAATAAAGCAGACCCGGATTCGTTGAATGTATCAGAGAGAGAGCACTATATCGATTCGATCGATATCTCCTCNGGCGTACACGACGGCGTGAATATCGTCTTCAATATATCCTTGTCCTGATTTTCAAAATTTCCGTTAAAATCAAAAAAAACACTAAATTTTCAAAAAAATAACGAAAATTCCGCAAACCGCCCACGCACTTCCATTGATCCCTTCTCATTTACAAATTCCAGGTATTATGAAGTAATAATAAAGGTAATAAATAATAATGACATTAATTAAATTAATAATAATACCAATAAAAACAATAATAACAACAATAATAAATAATAATAAATAATTACTCTAATGAATCTGCCCTCGTCCCTGTGCCAGAATAGAGTCGGCGACAGCCACAAGCACCCCCCCTCGGGCAATAACCCCTCCCCGCCCATTTTATCACTTTTATCCATCACAAAACATTTCGACTCGAATTCACTCCGATTCTTCAATAGCAAACCTTCGATGTGGAACGCTCGCGATAGGGGGCCTTTTACTGCCTTTATTTATTATTATTATATATTATTATTATTTATTATTATTATTTATTATTATTTATTGTTATTATATTCAATTGTTATTTAATATTGTTTATCACNTATTATTATTATTTATTATTATTATTTATTATTATTTATTGTTATTATATTCAATTGTTATTTAATATTGTTTATCACTATTATTTATACCACTATTATTTCTATTTATTATTATAATTGTTTATTATTATTACAATTATTTATTATTACTGTCACTAATATTATTACTGTTTGCTATTATTATTATTATTTAATATTATTATTCATTATTATTATTTATTATTAATTATTATTATTTATTATTACTATTACTATTTACTATTACTACGTTAAATAAAAGTAACAATAAATAATGATTAATATAAAACACTCCACCGAAATGGGTGATAAATACTGAATATTCTGTGGCTGATCCACCTTTCCCCTCACAATAATTTGCTGTAAATATACCGACGGCTTCAAATATAACCACTCCGGGGCACGTTCTTCTACAAATAACAACGACAATAATAATAATAAATAATAATATATAATAATAATATATAATAATAATATATAATAATATATAATAATAAATAATGAAAATAAATAATAATAACAAAAATAGAAATAAATAATGGTTCCAGTTAGGCAAGCCATGCTCGTCGAGCTATCAATGCTGGCGAGCCGAACCAGTTGACGATCAGGGTATTCCGCTTTCCCTTACGGGTAAGTTTTTCCCCATGAATCCGGGCAACTTTCTTACGGATATTGGTTTTGTATTTCTACAGTACACCCGTACAGTATCCGCACTGGGTTACGGTAACTGTGTACAGTACTTCAGACAGCGTAAAAGTTCACTAGAACAGCTCTAAAATGCTCTGAGATTATTGTATTTTTAAGAAATTTTTTTGTCATTATATTTTGTCATTTTTGTCATTTTCGTCATTCAATTTTGTCATTATAATTTGAATTTGATTTCAGGTAGACTCATGAAACGATTAGAAGTTGGTCAGGCATTCAATAGAGGAGGTGAGCTTGCACTCAGAATGCTTTAAATGGCGTCAAAAAATTTTTGACCTAGGCAGGAACCGAACTCTTAAACCCCCCACCCACTCGTCTGCGTAAGAATCGAGAAGACATCCACTGCGCCAAGTAGCACTGAGTCTCGGCGAATTAATTAAATGACTGGCTATTTCAGGTCGGTGTCGATGCAAATTCGGCGCATGTCAGTACTTTGTATGGCAGTCGAAGACAACACTGGCTTGTGAGGAATTCTAACGTGACATGGCGACAAGAATCATGAATGTATCATGAAAAAAACGATGGAATCATGAATAAATCATGGAATTGGCGATGGAATCATGAAAAAATTAATACAAAAATATGCATGATCCGTACAGTAACATGTAACATGGCATGCAAAACGTATTGGTGTCAGTATTGATTGCAATTCTCCTTGTTCTGATGATTGATGGATGTCAGTTGAACTCGATTTTGTACGGAATTGAAACTTTTTATGTTCTCATCTGGAAATTCCGGAATTTTTATGTTCTGAAAAAATTTTTCATTTCATTCCATTCTATTCTGTTCTGTTCCATATTGAATTCTGTTCCCTGTTCCATAAACTGTTCCAAATTCTATTCCCTGTTCCATAAACTGTTCTAAATTCTGTGGCTATTGTGTTCCGGTTGGCGATAACGTTTGGTGAATATTGTGATTTGCTTAATA